TAATCTCCCAGTTCTTTCCTTCAGAGATCTTATTTCCTTTGTAATTCATTTTTTCTCTCTTCATGTCTTCTGGGTACTATTGTGACCCTTGTGTGAAAGCCATTTTCCCCTCTGTGAGGCTCTGCTTTTCATATTTCTGCAGTTACTGTTTTCTTGAATTGGCCTCTTAGATGTTTCTTGATTCATAGTATTTTCCCTAATGTTTTAGTATTTTTTTTTTCCTTTTTACTCATTTCTCTCACCTTAGTTCCTTCTTTGAGACTTTGTGAAAGGCTCAGATTCTTCTGTCTCCCATACTCTTCCATAGGGTGGTCAAGTCTTGTTTAGTTCTAAACCTCAGTTTCTTGGGGACTTAACCTTGGCTTTCATCTACCTTAGTATGTGTTTCCCCAGAACACTGGTAGGTTTTAGAGTTTCCTTCATTAGTTAGTCAGTAAGCATTTATTAAGCACCTACTCTGCATCAGTTATGAGTTAGTGTTGTCTTAAGTGCTGCAAATACCAATAAAGGCAAAAGACAGTCTTTGCTCTCTAGGATCTTACAGTGTTACGAGGGAGACAGCCTGCAGACAACTATGTACATACAGGTACATACAGATTAAATTGAAGATTATCAGCAAAGAGGAAGGCACTGTCATTTAAGGTGTTTAGGAAAGGTTCTTGTAGCAGGTGGGATTTCAGCTGATACTTGAAGGAATCCAAGGAATCCAGGAGGCAGAGGAGAGGAGGACAGCAAGTAAAAATGCCTGGAGTCCTGAGAGCCCTGAAGTCCTGAGGAGTAGACTTGTGGCAGTGTGATGCCTATTGTTGGGCCATGTTTGAGATCAGAGAATGAGGAGTTTCCAACCCATCTTGTTCTTCCCTGTAAGAATGCTTTAGACTTCCTGAGTACCAGAAAGAAAATGCTGCAGGCTTTAAGTGTACTTGGAGCTTTTTCACCTAGAGCACTGGCAGCTCCTGACTTTTTTATCTGAGCTTTTGCTGTCTTTCCTAGCAGGACCACCTTTCCAGTGCCTGTAGGCTTCTGGCTGCCTTTTTGTACATTCTTGGGTTGGATGAAGAATCTTACTATCCTTCCCCCCCCCCCCTGCCCCCCTTAGATTTCTTGATCATTATTCACTCTGGCACCCTTTTAGATATTTACTGGAATACATATGGGAGAGGTGGCCTTGTCAGTCTTTTTTTTTTTTAATAGTTTTTTTTCCTTTTTTAAACTTTTTTTATTTTTTATTTATTCATTTTTTTTTTAGGCAATTGGGGTTAAGTGACTTGCCCAGGGTCACACAGCTAGTAAGTGTCAGGTGTTTGGTCCAAGGCTGTATTTGAACTCAGGTCCTCCTGACTTCTGGGCTGGTGCTCTATCCACTGCGCCACCTAGCTGCCCCTCCTCATCAGTCTTTTACTGCTCAGGGAAAATATTTTAGGTACTGCCCTGAGCCACCACTTCCCCTCCCCCTCCCCCCCAGTCCCCTCTCCCAGTGACTTTGATGGTTTCACACAATTTGTTGACTAAGTAGCAATGAGCAGAGGAAAAAAAAGCAGCATATATTGTTTTGTGTATTCAAATATAGTACAGTATAGCAATGACTTTGATTCAGCAAGAGAAGATATATTTAGTCACTTTTGTTTAAGAATGCATTGAAGTTTATGTTTCAGAAATATTCCCACAAATATTTTAAAATTTATGTTTTCTTACTTGAGTGGTGAAATCATAATTTTATGGGAAATTCTCTATTATGAATACTTAATTGCTTGATGATAGATGAGACACTACTCTAATGTGATTTCTCCCATGGCATTTTAAATGGATTTCTGTATTGTAGAGGGAAAGTATTGAGCAGATATATAGTCTTTCTTTGCTTTTTTTTTTTTAAATGAACCTTTGGTAGTCCAATGGAGCTGATGGTTCCCTTTTCAAAATAATATTTTTAAATACACAAAATAAAATACCTAAAGTTTCAGAGGAAGTCAAATTATATTGAATTGTAGTCATCAAAATGTTAAAAATCAAGTTCAGGAACCCTAGGAACCAGACCTTTAAGATAGAGAGAAAGCAAAAGTATACATGTTGATTGCTAGTGATCTTTAAAACTCTTCCAGCGATTATATTTATTCATTAAATGCTTGGTAAATTGAATTGAATTCTTAGTAGGATGGATACATTCATGCTATTGCATTACTTGAAGGTTTCTTGGGAAATAATTTACTTGGATTTCAGTTGTATTGGCATAATTATTCTTGTTTAACAAATTAATCAGTCTGCTTATATTTTAAAAATAGTTCCATTTGTTTACTGTGTATTTGAGAGGTTAATGTTTTATATTTCTCCCCTCTGGGGCCAATCTATTATCTGATCTTTTTTGTCACATTATAGAATATAAAATACTTGAATACCGACTGTTGTTGGTTAACAAGTATTTATTAAGTGCCTGCTATAAGCTTGGTGTAATTTAAAGAAGGCAAAAGACAGTCCCTGCTCTCAAGGAATTGCCTAGTACAAGATTAAGTGATTTCCAGTGTTACACATTGGCTGTCAGAAGGAGAACTTGATCTCAGGTTTTTCTGAGTTTGAGGCCTATTTGCTATATACTGTGATACATTGCCTCTGTACAATTGAATTAGTTTTTGAAAGTTTTACCCAGGATTTGACTTTAACCAATTTTTTAGTTTTATGCTATTCCCCCTCATGTACTCTTTTGTTGTTGTTTTTGGAGACAGGGTTAAGTGATTTGTGACCAAGGTCACAAAGCTAGTAAGTGTCTATGGTCACGTTTGAATTTAGGTCCTCCTGACTCTGGGGCTGGTGCTCTATCCACTGTACCACCTAATAGTCCCTTTCTTCACATACTCTTTCTGTCCTTGTTGTCTCCTCTCCTCCTTGTGATCCTTCCTTCAAACTTTTCTATCTTCAATCACACAATATTACATTTCTGGAAAGAACTCTGTCTCCCTCTACCCTGCTCTCAGCCTTCTTTAATGTATATTCCTTTCTTGAGGGTCCAGCTTAGGTGGTATCTCCACCATGAATCTTTCCTCACTCACGTTCCTCCCACACGGTTGAAAGAGGTCCTTCTCATAGCTTTCTTAGAACCTTATCTGATATCAGCCTATGTGAAAGGTGAAATCTGAAATAACTGAGGAAACAAAAGGTTCATGCTTCTAAGCATATTGATGCATTAAGCAATGCATGCTAATTGCATAACAAATTGGGACCAGATGTCCTCAACTTGGCACTGGACTTCCAAATACAGGGGGAGACAAATTTTTATGCATTAAAAGAAAACAATTAATAGGATATAAACCAGGATACAAGATTAAGTAATCTCATTTCTTACTGGAGGAAAGATTAGGGACTTTCCAAGTGGGAGGGGGAGAACAAATAGGTGAAATTCTCTGAAATCAAAAAAAAAAGAGGTGTTCCCCGCCCAGGGTGAGGGTGAGGGGCAAGTGTCGGTATTCAATTAAAGGAACAAAGAAACAGTAACTGATTGAGTAGTATGAGGCCAGTTTTCAGGTAAGACATATAGGGTTGCTTGAGATGTACAATTGTGAGAAAACTTCTTGCATCAATCTTTGGATCTGATTGGGTTTCGGGTCAGCGTAATCTTAGGTCCTTAGTTAAGGGTCTCTAAACAACAGGTTGGGGTGGTCCAGCTTCTCAGCCTTGCAGGGCTAGGTTCAAACCATGCAGTAAAGTTTTCTCACAATTCTCATAATTGAATAAAGTTTTCTCACAGGACAAAAATTGGACTAGACCCACAATCAAATAAAAAGGGAACTGAGTTGATTCCAGAATTGTGTCACAAGATGGAGTCAGTGTGTTTCACTCAATTCCCACAATTCACTCAGCTGGAATAGGGCTCTATACCAGATCCTTTCCAGTTCAACATTATTTGTTTGGAAATGATTTTGATGGTAGACCTAAGAAATCTGACAATCATACAAAGCTAGAAAGCATAGATAGCACATTGTATTCAAGGATGAAGGTTAAAAAAAGGTTGTTGACATTCTAGAGCTAGTAAGATGAAATTTCAGGGTGATACATAAAAAATTCTTTTAAGTCAAAAAAAAAATCAACCAACTATAGCATTGGGAAGAAGAGCTTACCAAAAATAATTCATTTGGTGTGGGAGTGGTGGCCTTTAGAGTTTTAGTTTTTGCGTAGATCCTAGGTAGCCCTTATAACTTAAGGGAAAAGTACGGGGATACAAATAACTGATGTTGTTGACTCCAAAATCTTTATGCCCCAACAGTAGGCGAAAAGTTGATGCAAACTTAGAATAAGTCAAAAGTATAGTATCCATGGCCAGTGTGTGTATTCTTTTGTGGTCATTTCACTTCTGGAATATTTTGTTTGGTTTAGAGCTCTGCTTTCTGAGAGAGATAATGACAAGCTTTCAGAAGTGGGTAAGAAGGCTGGTGGAAAGGTCTGGAATAGTTGAAGTAATTGGGTGGGAATTTTCAGTTTGTAGACATCATTTTTTTCAAACACTTGAAGGGCAGTCATTTTGAAGTAGACAGATTTATTATATGTAGTTCCATAATCAGAACACGTTTTGGTTTAGCTTATAGAAGAAAAACTCACAATTAACATTTTCCATTATTGGATTGTACTCCTTTCTGAGGTGGTGGATAGATTATTCAAGCAGTGCTTGAATGACCATCTTTTAATGATGGGAAAGAAAGGGAATCTAGAGTAAACGACACCTAAATTTCTATGTGGTTCTCTTTTCCCATTAATATTTCATATTTTTTTGATTTCAGTATTTCAGCTGATCACTTGACTTTAGTATATGAAATATATCTTATCTAATTAGCATTGCTTTTAATCTTGTTGACATCTGTCTTATTTCGTGACTTTCGACATCAATATGGTTACCATCACTAAAGAAGAGAGGAGTTGGTCGTTTAAATGCCTAAATCTAATTTACCAACTGTTGAAATGAACATTTAAGTAAAGAAGAAATTATTTTTTACATTATGCCTTTTCTTTCTTTGTAGAATAAAACACGGAAAAATCCAGGCACGTGAGGATATCAACAAACTTCTGGAAAGAGAGAGGGCTATTACCAATGAGCAGTTAACTAGAGCCATTCTTCGAGAGAGAGCATCAAGTGAAGAGGAGAAGTCCAAGGTGAAGCATTTGGTGAGTATTATAGATTTTCTGTAAATTTGACAGCTTTTAAAATGTTTAAATGTTTATTTTTCCAGTTATTTTCCTCATTTTCACGTCTTATAACTAAATTTCTGTGATTAAACAAATTGGTTCAGGGCTTATATCCCCATGTTAGAACTGTTAAGCCATTTTTACTATTAGGCCAAATGCCACAAGCTCCTCACCTTGCCTAAAATGAGTATGTTTGTTGTTTTCCCTGACTTCTTCGGTTCTTTGATGCTTAAAATTGGTGGTCAACGGCTTGCTTTGTGTCTATGTTTATCTGATGTCATTCTCGGCTAATATAAGCATCAGTCAGTGAGTTTGATAAATCACTTCTCAACATGGGAGAGAAGAGAAAAGAGCAGATTAGGTGGGCCCTAAGAGATCTGCAGTAAATATTTGATTTTTACTTTTGTCATAGGAAACAAAGGGTAGAGGTGAGGGAAGGTCTTATTAAAAATATTTTTAAACTGCTGAAAGAGTTAATAATCAGTTCCCCTTATTTCTTCTTGTGCATAGTCTTTAATGATTAAAGGACCTGTCCATATTCAGAGAACTGTTTAACCAGGATCATTTAGCACCATTAGAATTCTTAGATTTTACTTAAGCTGAATCAAATAAAAATACCTCCCTCCAGTGGAGTGGAAAGCAGCTTTTTCTTTGAGTCTTGAAGACCTGAAGAATCACCCCATCCTCTTAAAGCTTTCATTGTCTTGTTCTTTTGTTTATCCAAAATGAACTTCTACTTAACATTTTCATTGTCAAATCTTCTTATTTCACAGTGTCATGAATACTTCATTTTGTTTTGAATGACTTAAAAAAAAATTTTTTTAACTAGGAAAAGTCTTATCTGACTGTACTTAGATCTAAGATTACAATTCTTCCTAAATGATGTAATATGGGTGTTAACATATCTAGTGCTTTCTTTTATATTGCTACCCTTATAGAAAAAAGGATGATGTCCCAACTATTTGTTGAATTACATTTACAATCTTTAATGTATTCTAAAGCTATTTAAGTATATTAGTGGATAGGGGAAATAAGGTTGGGAAAGGAGGGTGATAGCTCCTTTAGAGTTGCCCCCACCTGATAATTTGTCCATTG